TTTTTACCTTAGTTCTACACTGTTATATGTTTCTCAGAATGTCTGTTAGCATTCAAAAGCACTTTCTTTTTACATACGCAAACCATTGATATATAGTCCAGAAAGACAACGAACGTATACGGCGCACCTCATTTTCTATAGAAAGTTTCTTTTTCTTGAATAAAAACTCATTTTTCAAAAAAATATCAGACACTTGTTCGTATGATGCACACTATTGTAAGGCATTTTTGAGCCTGTTGCTGAGATCCTATGAAAACGTTTTATAGCTCATGTCGTAGAGAATCGAACACACTCATAATCCCAGTTTCTGGTGTAGATTCAGAATCCATAACAAAAAAGAGGAGTAAAAAATTTCATGTTACGTCCTATTAGCACTATGCTTGCTAGGCTCAGAATCCTCTCTTAAGGGTCCAGAATTTTGCCTTCAGCTTTTCGAGAAAGTTGCTTATAGTTTTGGAATCAAAGATTCAATTAAACTAAAACTTGGAATTTTAGCTCTTCAGACATTCTCTATAAGATGAGTATAGTTTAGAAGCATCTGAAATGATCATTGAGTAAGTGTTGTCGCGGCTCTCGTGCAATGACTTCTTTAGATCGTTGAAATTTTATGACTTGTTTAGCTGTGAATAATAGAAAGCCTTACGACATTTATTTCATTTTCACTCTGCCATGGATGGAAAAGAATATTTTATTGTATTTTTATATTGACGAAATTGACTATAATCGACTAATCAATCCAAAGTGTTTAAATGATGTAGAATATTTGGCTTTATGCTGTTCATCTATAACTACGTATTCAGAATTATCGACTATATTAACTACCTACTACTCAAACGTAAGATCACTTCAGATCGATGACTTTGAATTAACTGATAATGATAGTAGTAATTCCAGTCCTATAATAACAAGAACGTTAAATTACGTTAAATTTGTGAAAATGTCATGCCAAAATAATTTAACATGCAAGTATTTTCCTAAGATCTTACGCTTAATTCCGAATTTAAGTAGTTTATCTATTGAAGCATCAGATTTGGATTTTCCAGCTATGTTTTATAATACGCCAGAATTTTGCAATAAGATTAAATGTTTAGAATTAAACCTCAAATTTACAAAAGTAAATTTAAGTCAAACTGTCATTTACTTCGATAAATTAGAACGTCTACGGTTATATTTCTTCAAATATGGTTATGATAATAATGATACAACAATAACAAGATTAGAATATGATGAAAATGATTTAGATTTATTCTGTTTTATACTTATCGAAAGTAAAACATTATTATCAGCTGATATTGCAATTTATAATATTGACATGAGACTCACACTCTAGAATAAATTGATAAATTTTAGAAACTATAGTAAACTATCCTCAGCAATAATTGAAATCATACAAGATGTGCGCTTAATTATTAGAAAATAGAATTATAAATCTTCATTAAAAATAAATTTCGATTATGACTGGATGATGCTGAGCTTTCATGCGTATTCGGGATTACAGAGCTAGTTTCGATTTTCTTTATACGTATATAAAAAACTGGAACAGCTCATCTGGTTGATTTTACTGCAACAAAACAATTTAGTAGTTACGAGACAATATTTCGAGCACTTAGAAATCCATACATACTAACTTATTTAGGCTGTTTTTATTTCGACAATGACGAAGAGGTTTTACGAAAATTCTTTTCATTCTAGTTTACTTATATTTTTGACAGTTTGCTTTTGGGTTTCAAGTTAAGTGAATATCAGCTTTATCCAACGCTAAATAGAGCATGAAGTAATGGGAACTTTTAATGAGTAATGGGAAATGAGTCACATCGCACACGGCGCCTAGACGGAAAAGAATATTTTATTTTATTTTTATATTGACGAAATTGACTATAATCGACTAATCAATCCAAAGTGTTTAAATGATGTAGAATATTTGGCTTTATGCTGTTCATCTATAACTACGTATTCAGAATTATCGACTATATTAACTA